TGAGTGTAACTCCTCATTCCAGACCTAATTCAGTGCTGGTGGTACTTGCTTGTTGTATTTGCTTGTTTATAGCTGTCTAAAATCAATGTCCATGGAAACGGTTGTTGAATTGGTTGTTTATTTCACATACTGCATAAAGTTGCGTGACTCATAGAATATCATGGATAGAGTAGCCTGAGTGGGAAAGGATCCATCCACAAGGATCATCGAGTCCAACTTCTGGCTCTGCACAGGACACCCCACCAACCCCACTCTGTGCCTTAGAGCATTGTCCAAATGCTTCTGGAGCTTGGCAGCCCTGGGGCCTCCACAAACCCTGGGGAGCCTGTTAAGTATCTGACCACCCTCTGGGGGAAGAATCTATTCCTAATATTCACCTAAACCTTCCATGACACAGCTTCAGCCATTCCCTGTGGTCCTGTCCCTGGTCACCGGAGTTGTTGCTCTGATGATATGTTTTTAGCTGTGATACAGAGGGCTCTTCCATCCCTCAAAGCAATCCCCTACCTATGTGTAGTTTGCAAAAACACCATTGTCCTGATGTGCCTGTTGCCAGGAAAGGGTATATAATAGATATACCAGTATATCTATTATGAAATATTTTTGTCTTTTGAAATAAAAATAGCCAAGTCAGAACTCTGGGCTAACCTAACTCCTCTCCTTCCAAGCAACATTTCATGTCAGCAAGCGGCCTGTGAATAATTAAAAAAAACAAAACAAAACAAAACAAAACAAAAACTCTAACAACAACAACAACAAAAACCAACCAAAACCAAAACAACAACAACTACAAAAAACCAAAAAACATTTTTGAACACTTTTTGCATGTTAAAATGAAACAGATTAAAGTTAATATAACAATAATTATCTCCTGCAGCTAGTATTTGATACAGACAGTGCCAGGGAGGACAGTGTGATCACTAACAAGGTTAGGAAAGGATTTCTTCTCTTGTGCAACACTCACAGATGTTACTCTTCTCCCAAGTATTTGAGATTTGCCACAGGCAGCTGATGAACACTCTGTTAGGTGGGCTGTTGCTTTATTGTCAGAACTCTCTCTTCCTGTTCTCTTTTACTGGGTGACCCTTCTTAACTCTTTTTTAAAGTGATTTAAAGTTTGCTTGATGGAAAACAACCATCAACCACTGCACAGACCTAACAATTCCAGCTATCTGGTAGAAAACCTTTTGATTCTCCAACTGCAAAAGCCTTTTGAATTGCTAATTTCCCAGGTTGCCCAGGAAAGTTGTGGCTGCCCTATCCCTGGAAGCGTTCAAGACTAGATTGGACAGGACTTGGAGGAATCTGCTCTATGGGGTGGTGTCCCTGCCCACGGCAGGGGGTTAGAACGAGACGAGCTTTGAGGTCCCTTCCAACCCAAACCATTTTGTGATTCTGTGATTCTATGACTTGTAAGGAACTACTGTGGGGAAAAGGGTGGGGAGAGATCAAGGATGGATGGCATCCTGTGCTTTATCCACCTAGCTGGATAAAAACCCACATAAACTGTTGAGCACAGAAGCAGTTTGCTAAATCTGACACCAGTGAAGAGAAATTCAACTGATATCTAGGATGGGAACAATTTCTCCAAGTATATTTGCACTCTTAACCAATGTTTTTACTTTCTGTCTTTTGTGCAACAGAGAGCTATGTTTGGCAAGAAAGGGGGGAGGAGATGTTGTGAAAATATAAGTACTGTTATCACTGATAATTGCAAGTGAACACAAACAGATGCAAGGAGACACAAAGTAGAGGATGGGGGTAAGATTTGACAGCAGATGCCAACCCCAGCCCTGAGCTGGCTATATCTGGCTAATCCATGTGGTGTTTTAGAGTCATACCAGCAACACTTCCACTGGTTGGAACCTTTTGACATCACTTAGTGGGAGCAACTTGTGCTGGCAGCACCTGTGTGACTGGGTTTGGGTTACCAGGCTTTGATCTGGGGGTGGGTCCTGTGAGGAGGTGCTGGAGCTTCCCTCCATGTCTGATGGAGCCATGGAGGGTGTGGGGGTGCAGAGATCCACGTGCAGCTCATGAACACCCACCCCATGGCAGAGCATGGGGATGCCCGAAGGAGGCTGTGCCCCCATGGGAAGCCCACACTGGAGGAGGGGCAGAGTGTGAAAAGTCCAACCCCTGAGGAGGAAGGAGCGCAGTGACAATGTGTGATGGACTGAGCACAGCCCCATTTCCTGTCCCCCTGCACCACCTGGAAGGAGGAGGGAGTGAAGCTTGAGGGAAATTGAGCCTGGGAAGGAAGGAGGAGTGGGGGAAAAGTGATTTAAGATTGGAGTGTATTTCTCGTTGCCCTGCTCAGATTGGATTGGTAATAAATTTGTAATAAATTAAACTGATTTCCTCCATCTCTTTTGCCCATGACACTAACTGGTGACTGATCTCTCCCTGCCCTTATCCCAGCTATGAACCTTTCACGGTATTTTCTTTCCCTGCCCAGCTGAGGAGGGGAGTGATGGCAGTTCTATGAGGCACCCAGTGTCCAGCCAGGGTCACCCCACCGCAGTGACAATCCAGAGAGCAGTGTCATGCACTGCCTGTATCCTGAGCTGGCTGACTCTCAGAGCCAGACTGGCTTTTCTGGCAGCACCTTGGGAAATGACTGGTATCTGAATCCACAGATTCAGGGCATGCTGGCAGTTGCCTGTGTCCCAGGAATATAGATGTATGTTAGAAATAGACTATTTGTGCCTCCATTTCTGTATAGTCTACAAGGGATTTGCAACCTATTTCTCATCACTCACACCTTTTTGGTTTTGGTTGCCTTTGAATACCAGGTCAGCCCAACCCAGCAGTTTTAAACTAAACCCAAGAGTTCATCCTCCTTCTTGAGGCCTCAAGCAGAAAAGGCAAAATCTCTGAGCAATGTTTTTTGCTAGAGATAACTGACTGACAACAAAAAACTAACCACTCTTTAGAATATTTTCTTTCCTATCTGCTCAACACCCTTCGTTGTCCCAGAAACTCACATAGAAATCACTAAAGCTCCCACTGAGAACTTCCTCAGACAGGTAAATAACATTTGAATTTCTAAACACAAATGAACTGTTTAAATATGGTGAGCTGGCTATTTCCACCCAGTCTGCTGTGTGTCTTTGCATTGCTGCATTTAAACCCTGGTCACCCTTTTGGAGAGAAAAATGTGAACAGTATCTTTTTGCCTTTTTTTTTCCCCCAATAATAAATTCTCAGCCATTGACATCTCTCCTCACTCAAAACAAATTGTGTTAGTCCAGACACAATCATATTGCTGGAGACAGACCAAAGGTAACAGTTACACAAGAACTCCAAACACTGTCAGTTTCTCATGTCTTTTTCACTCTGTTAAAAATGAAAGGTCTGAAATTTTCACCCTTCTTGCTGCAAAGGATATCCCTGCTGTGTGTCCAACTGAATTTGCTGCTTTGCCCACAAATTCAGAAGAGAATGACTTTTAACTTCTTTATTCTTCGTTATTGAGGCCTTTGTGTTACAAATTAAGGCCCAGAAATCCTTGGAGATCACTAGCTTGTTTTCCAGGGTAGAAGGGTATCCCGTTTTTCAGATTTTTTTTTTTTCTGCTCATACAACCAGAATCATAAAATCACAGAGTGGTTTGAGTTGGAAGGAATCTTAAATCTCATCTCATCCCACCCCTGCCATGGCAGGGACACCTCCCACTGTCCCAGGTGCTCCAGCCCCAGTGTCCAGCCTGGCCTGGGGCACTGCCAGGGATCCAGGGGCAGCCACAGCTGCTCTGGGCACCTGTGCCAGGGCCTCACCAACCTCACAGGGAACAATTTCTTTCTATTTTGCTTCCTAGGTTGCTCAGAGCCCTACCCAGCCTCACCTTGAACATTTCCTTTTCCCTGCCCTGCGGCCTCGAGGTCTCCCTGTGCCTCAGGCCCACGCTTACAGTGTGTGGGGTGGCTGGGAGGCATTCCCAACCTAGGGAGGACACAACCCCACCTCTGAGGGGACCTTTTCAGGCTCACCTGGGGTACAGTGACACCCCGGGATGCTGGTGGGACAGACCCCCAGCCAAGCTGAGTCCATCGTCCATAGGGGCAGTGGAGCCCAGCAGGGGTTGCTCCATCCCAGGGCAGTGCCCGTGCCCAGTGCAGGGGCAGCCCCAAGCCCCCAGATCAGGATGGACACCAAGGTGCTGGAACATGCCCAGGGAAAGGAACAGAGTTGAGGAAGGCTCTGGAGCACCAAGAGCAGCTGAGGGGCTGAGCCTGGAGCACAGGAGGCTCAGGGGGCCCTTGTGGCTCTGCACAGCTCCTGCCAGGAGGGGACAGCCGGGGGGTCGGGCTCTGCTCCAGGGAACAGGGACAGGAGCAGAGGGAACGGCCTCAGGCTGGGCCAGGGGAGGTTCAGCTTGGACACCAGGAGGAATTTCTTCCTGGAAAGGGCAGTCAGGCCTTGGCAGGGGCTGCCCAGGGAGGTGGTGGAGCCTCCATCATCCCTGGAGGTGTCCAAGGAATGCCTGGATACGGCACTCGGTGCTCCGGGCTGTTTGACAAGGTGGGGAGTGTCACAGGTTGGACTGGGTGATCCTGGAGGGCTTTTCCTACCTCAATGATTCTGATTCTGTAACTTCCATTACTCCTTTCACTGGGGTGGTGCTCGTGTTGTACCTGTGCCAGCTGCTGCTTTCTCACCTGTAATGTTTAACTAATGGGGAGCAGCAAAGGGGCTTTAATTTCACAGCTCAGTTTTAAATTGTCCAATTTCCTGGGAAATGCCATTTCATGGTTTGGGAATTGCCATGTGCTTGAAACTCTGCTTGTTAACCTTGCTGAGACGAGAAACTCACCCCTAAGTGAAGAGCTCTGCAGCTGTAGCACCTAACCAAGAACTGCTTCCACTTTTTCTACACTAGAGACTGTAATTAGTGGAACCGATCCCGTGACTGCGATTCCCTGATCCGCCCCCTCCCCGCCGCCATGGCCGCGGCCTGACGTCACTGGCCCCGCCCTCCCAGTTCCCCCCCCACTCGCGGCCACCGTAGCGGGATCGGCGGAGGCCCCGCGGCGGCCGATGGTCCGCGTTGTGCCGCCGCCCCCCGCCCCGACCCGGCAGCGGCCGCAGATGGCGCGGCGGGGACCGGGCAGGCGGGGCGGGAGGTCACCGGCACCGCCGCCGCCCCCGCTGCTGGCGCTGCTGCTGCTGTTGGTGCTGGGCCCCGCCGCGGCCGCCGGCGAGGAGGTGGCGGTCTCCAAGGAATGCGACAAGCCGTGCGCCAACGGCGGGCGGTGCCAGCCGGGCACCGGGCAGTGCGAGTGCCAGCCTGGCTGGGTGGGCGACCAGTGCCAGCACTGCGGGGGGCGCTTCAGGTGAGCCCCCGCGGGGCGCGGGCGGGGACATGCCCTGCGGTGGGCACGGAGCGCGGGGACGCGGGGGTCCGTGTGGACGGGGCTGAGGGGCTGGTCGGGAGGTGCGGGGCTGCTTCAGGAGTGAGGCGTTAGGTTTGGGGAGCGGCGATAAAAGGCTGGTTCGAGGGTGAGGGGCTGGTTTGAGTGGGGAGTTCGTTTGGACCGTGGATTTGGGGTACGGAGGGGAGCGTGTGGCAGTCACATCAGGGATGGGCGTGAGGGACAGGGCAAGGGAGAAAGGAGAAGACACAGCAGTGGCTCGATGGCCCGGGTCAGGTTGCCCAAAGGAGCACTCGAGGGAAATAGAGAGGTGGGTACGAGAAGCAGGTTTGGGCACTCAGACGGGGTGGGAGGCCGAGGAGGGTCCAGGGATGAGTGAGTAGGGTGGTGGTGGAAGGGGAAGGGCCGGGTGACAGTAAAGGTGACGGGTGGGACCAGGTGAGGTGGAAGGTGAGCGGTAGATGGAAGTGACACTGAAGGTGAGTGGCAGGTCAAGGGAATGGTGAGGGACACTGAGGTGATGATAAAGGTGAGCGGCAGGTCCAGGTGATGATAAAGGTGAGGGACAGGTGCAGGTGACCATAAGGATGCAGGTGTTAGGGCAGGATAGGAGTGTGTTGAGGGGACAATAGGGGCTCCTCTGGGCAGGGAGGATGTGAGCGTGGGGCTGATTCAGGGGGATGGGGGTGTAAAGGGATGGGCAGGAGCCATGCAGGGGGACAAAAGGGATTTGGCTGCAGAGGGAGAGGTGGGTGTGGGGAAACGGGCTTGAGGGATGGTGGCAGCATGGGTGTGATGGGGTGACAGTGTGGAAGGCTTGGTCTGGAGGTCCCCAGAGTAGGTGAGTGGTTAGGCTTCCTGTGGGAGCTCTCAGAGCAATGGGATGTGGATGTTTAGTGCCTCAGTTGGTGAGTACAGGATATTTGTTATGCAGGGAGTTACCTCTAAGTGATCTGAATTTTTGGTGGTGGTTGGCTGGTGTTGCACAGGCGTAACTGGCAATCAGTTGTGATTCTAAAGGGCTGTGTAGGAGCAGGGATGCGTTTGTAGGGCATTGGATCTGTGAGGGTCTGGGTGTGATGGATTGCAGAGCCAGGAAAATGTTTGGTTTAAGTTTTAGTAGGTCCAGACAGAAAATAAAGCTGGAGTGGAGTGGGTAGGGGGGTATATTTTTGGCAGCAGGGTTAGGTTTGGGAACTCATAAATGGAAGTGTAAGGATGGTGGGTGAATGGGGGTGGCTTTGTGCGGGGATGTGGCTGGAGCTGGAAGCCGACAGAAGCAATGAGGAGCAGGTGGACAGAGGAGGACAGCGTGGGTGTGGGGCCAGTTCCTGGGCGGGGAGAAGGTATAATGTGTGGCTGGGACTAGATCATGCTTACAACAGGTTGGAGGAGAAGGACATGCAAGTGGGCGTTGGGGCTGTGTGGAGACTCTAGAGGTGTTTGGAGGGGGGTTAAGGAAGCTCCTCTTGGCAGATCAGTAGATGCTGGTTTTGGTTAACGGTTATTTCAGAAGAGGTATGTGCAGGGGAGTGAAGCAGTATCCTTATGGGAATAGCTGGCATTTGGAAGGCTCATCGTCTGCAGCTGTAATGCTGCTGCGTCTTGTGGAGGGACAGTGGGAATAGCAGCCTGGTGGGAAAAAGCTCCTGGGCTTGTGGGGAGACAAGACTGGGCAGTGGGAGGGGATTGAACAGGACTGAGGGTATTGGGAGAGTCCTGCTGTTTCAGAGTAATTTTTTTGGAAGAAAACAAGGCTAAAGGAGGGCTCTGGGCAGAGGGGTGGATTCCCCTGGCTCTGCACTGATCCAGGCCATGTGCAAACGACTGTGTGTGGGAATGAGGGGTGTCTGCACAGGACAGTAATTTTTGGGCTATATGCTGATGAAAAGTGTGTTTCTGCAATGCTGGGGCCAGATCTTTTAGTATTGAGTTACTCAGTTGGGTTGTGTGTCTGAGGTGTATTCCACTGAATAAGAAAGTGAAAATTTCATGGGAATAGGCTGAGGATGCTCCCTGGCTTCTGTATTATGGCAAGGATTTCTGTAAGATGGTTACTTGCCTTGGATTCGTCAGCTGTGGCAGTGAGAGCCAGTGTGTGTGTCTGCATGCATTAGATGAATTCCCTGGCAGGCCTGATTCCTGGAAAAGAAGGAATCAGAAATGAGAAAAGTAGGATTATCCTAGGGAGTGACTGCTTTCTTGGGAGCTACTGAAAGTACCAAGCACCCTTCGATGATGTTCCTTGTGGATTTGGGAGGAGGGTAACTGTCCATATAACCTGAACTCATGGAAGAAAAATACTTTAATTTTTTTATTCATATTTATTGACTGTCTGTAGATGACTGTGTGTTGCAAACAGTTTCAAAGGGGTTTTGTATAGAAATTATTCCAGGCTAGGCTTGCTCTGGAAGTCCAGACCTGCCTTTTTAATGTCTTTTTGCCACTGTCATGATAAGCATTTTCTTTTAGCTGGGAGAGTGCTTTAAGAAATAGCCTCATACTTGTTACTTTCTTGGAGAAACTTGGATATTTGTGATTTTAAGGGGACTGGATTTGAGAGGCTTCTTTTCCGAATGGTAATGCCAGGTAAAAAAAAAAGCATTGGTATATATTCACTGCTAATAGAACCTCAATTTTTTATCCTCTTACCTCTTTTGATAAAACTTTTTTCTTTCTCACATACAATTCTAATCTAAAATTCTGCCTGAAAATATAATACATGCTTTTCTCTGTAGATGGTTTATTTGTCTGTTTATTAGTTTATTAAGGAGTAGAAATTTCTAGCTATGTTTTTAAACTTGGAGCTCTGAGAAATGCAAACAAGCAGTGTTCATAGTTTTGCAGTCATGTGTCTTCTTTCACATGCCTTGAGTTTGCTCTGTCTCCTGTCAGAATTGGCTCTGCAGGAGGTTTTTGTTTGGTTCAGGGTTGTCCAGAGTTTGGCTTTAAAGGACTTAATGTGTTATTAGATGCTGAAGGTACAAGTGGGAAGTAGAAGAGCAGGTGAAAATTATTTTCTAAGTGCAGTGTATTCTATGTGCTTATCTGCTGGATTGAGAGATGTAATTAAATTTGGCATGTTAATCATCCTATCTTATCTAGATGTATATGATGACTGTATTTGTGGCCTTGACTGTTTTCATTTACATTGTAAAGATACACCTTGTGCTTCACTGACTTACTAATCTCTGACATCTTCTTGTGTTCACAGTGGAGGATGAACATTGTATCATCGAGTTGCAGTCTTCTAATATTCCGTTTCCCTTTTTCCCTGGGAAATCCTTTATTTAGACTGCAGTTAGATATATGAGTAACACACCCCGGATCAGTGGTGCTTTTCAGAGGTGGAAGGCTGATTTAGGAAGGACTTCAGGTGACTGTTTTTTAAGGTGTGGAACCAGCCACTTTAGTTGTTCAAAGATAACCATCTTGGTGTTGATGGAAGCTGAAACAGAAAACACAGAATGTGCCTGATGTGCTTGTGTCTTTTATTTCAGTGCAAACCTCCAGAGGGCTCTGGGCTGGCTGGAGACTACTGTGGGCTTTGAGCTGCCATGATATGTGCAGGAGAGGAGCTGCTGCTGGGAGGGATGAGAAATTCCCTAGTCACAGAGCTGCACCAGCATCCTGAGATAACATTTGGAGCAATGGGAGCTTGGGAACTCCAAACTTGAGAGTGAAATTGGCAGCATTGATTATTGTACAATCAAAAAGATGCTGCACGCTTTGTTAACAGACTCTTGAAATCACTGTCTGCAGCTCAGTGACACAACCTCTCATCCTGCCCAAGCTGAGTTGTCAGCCAGCTGCCTAATTAGCAGATGGAATTAAAGGTGGAAAAGTCCTCTGAGATCATCCAGTCCAGCCTCCTCCCAGCACTGCCAAGACCACCACTAACCATATCCACATGTTTTTGAGCACTTCCAGGGATAGGAACTCAGCCACTTTCCTGGGTAGTCTGTTCCAGTGCCTGACCAACCTTTCCATGAAGACATTTTCCCCAGTATCCAGTCTAACCGCCCCCCTGCCCAGAAGTGCAACTTGAGGCCATTTCCTCTTGGTCCTGTCTCTTGTTCCCTGGGAGTAGAGCCTGACTCCTCCTGGCTGCACCCTTCTGTCTGGGAGTTTTAGGGAGTGAATGAGAATGAGCTCTTTTCATTCTAACCCCGAGTTTTTCCAGACTGAACCCTCCCAGCTCCCCCAGCTGCTCCTCACCAGACAAGGCAGGTAAAACACATAACAAGAAATGACCTCTGGTTCAGTTACATTTATTGTCCTGAGATTGTAAAGGGTTGGATTAACAAATTCAGGATAATGATTGACTTCTTGAACACTTAGTGTATGTGGATTGTGTGTGTAGGCTCACTGATGGGCAGTTTGATGTCTGATGGTAGCTGAAAATAATATTTTGACTGTATAATGAAATACCAAATTATTCCAGGAATATGGATTTTGTATGTAAAGGCACTAGTGCTCCTTTCATGGTAATACTCTTTTGGTGGTGGGAGATGGCAAATGCTAAGCAGGACTTAACCATGCAACCTGACAGCTGGGGAGTAAAAAACTTTCTGGAGTGTATCCTTTAAACTTCCTTTTTAGTAATATAATGGGAGCAGTTATGTGTTGCTGGTTAAATGTTATGAAGGACTTGGTGGTAGTAGAGCGTGCTTGGCCAAAGAATATTACAGTGAAGAGGAATTTTATCTCTAGGTTTGTGTAAATCACTATCTGAGAGAGCTGTGAGCTGGAAAAGAACTATCACAATTCTCTTTGTTAAATAAACAGGAACTTTTGGTTAAAAGCTTAAATACAAACAATTGTCTTTAAGAAGCTACCTGAGGCAGTTTGTAGATTTAAGAAGGTCCGGAAGATGCTTAGTAGATCCAAGGATGTTGTCAATTTCAATCAAATCAGTTTAAGTGCTCAAATTAGATCTGGGGCCTGCATTTGTGCCTGAT